AACTTAATTTCGTTGTCAATTCTTCTGTTCGATAAAAAAAAAAAAACTTGTTTAAATTTGGTGTTTAATTCATAAAATAAAGATCTTTAAAGATGCAAAACTGTGGTTAGATCTAACTAGACACCATGCATCTTGACCTAGAGATAAAAGGCGTGCAGGAGACAGAGTGCTGGAATTTGCCCTGTTCATAGCTGAGGAGCCAACGCACACTTCGTCTTGCTGAAATGATCGTACCTCACACAAGTTAGGGAGAAGTGTTTGAAAAAGAGGAATTACATTTTCTAACCTTCTGTTCTTTTTCAGGCATAGAATTTTAAAGCCCAAGACAAACGCTGATAAATCATGATCATCCCGTAAATTCAGCCACTTTTTAGGGAGGGAGTTTAATCTCCAGGCGGCAGAATGTTGGAGGCTTTGCTAGGATCAGAAGAATGGAACTTTCAGCTTCAGTAGCTTAGAGTTAAAAAGAACATGAAGTCCCTTTTTGGATGACATGAATCATAGTGGTGTGCTTGGCCCACCCAGAAGCAATCAGGACCTTTCTCTCCAGGTCTCGTAAGCAGGAGCCTGCAGGCGTGCTGGGTCCTGTCACTGGCATAATCGTGGGGCTCCCGGAAGAGTGAGTCACCTCATGAGGACTTACAGGAGGTCGAGGCCTTCTGAGAATCCGAGGCTTCAATTTGGAAGAGAAGAGTGACAGCATGTTGTCAAGAGACAAACTGGAGTGTATGTTTGTCTGACAAAGAGTCAGCTTTTTAGGGTTTTACTTGCCAAAGAGAGATCTCTTACTGAGAGACGCCCTCCAAATGGAGTCAAGAGATGTTCGCTGAGAGAAAACAGTGCTAGAATGAATGTTCATTCTTCTTATGTAGGCATCCCATCTTCTTCAGAGCCTTAAACATACCAAAATAATAATAATAATAATAGCAATAATAATAATAATCTCCCATTTTCAAGAAACTGACAAATGAGTGGCAAGCCCACATTCAGCCTCTGGTCAGAATTCTACAGTCTTTTATACAGGACTTGAGTTTTAAGGGGTCTTAGGCTTTCCAAAAATGGTTCTATTTTTATTGTCTAATGATGCCCTAGCCCAGAGCCTAGGGAAAGGGAAGAGCTGAGAATTCTAGCAATACCATCAGAAATAATTGCAGCCCTACCCAAGAAAAACAAGTGAACACCAGTCCTGGGAAGACAGTCCCGTCTAGAGTAGTGCCTACCCAAGATTAGACTCCAGTTTAAACTCTAATATATAAAAAAAAAAACTTGAAGAAGGCATGCCAAAATACATAAAATTTTAAAGACTAGAAGGGTAAGTATAAATTATGTAGCACAATGAAACATCGTGGGTGATTTCCCAGCATTCGATGACAAAGAGCTGCCGTGTTTGTTTGCGCTAAAATGTTCTGTGTCCACTAGCCACAACTTTGTGGCTTTTTCCCCTCTGTTTCCTTCTGATAGGTTGCTAGGCAGATTCTCCTCTGGTCCAGGTTAAAATGCTTAGAGCACAGAGCAGATCTAAATGCTTTCTTCTGGCTCCTGTGCCTCATGCCCCTTCTGGAATCTGGTGAGTTTCCGAACACTGAGCATCTTCCTAGCACACTGGGTATTTCTGCAGGTCAAGCTCTCCTGCTCCTCCCCCAACACACACACTTGGGGCGAGAGCCAGCCTGAGCTAGGCTCTTAGGAAGAATACTTACTGCCACAGTATTGGCAGTGGTTATTTTGCAGAGCGTTAAATGTTGTTTATGCTGTTGAGGTACATCAGAAACATGTTCTGACTGAAGGTGTGGTTTGGTTTATATGGTGGACAATTAAGCATAATTAACACTTGATGATCTACATGATATGCCATCCCCAGTGGAACTGTAGAGCTTTGGGGCAGAGCCAGGAACCTTGGCACTTGCCTGAGGTACCTAGGTAGTTAACTGTTTCATGCTTCACACTAAATTTGAAGAGACATTGAAATCAATAGTCACTTGTGGTGGTTTTTGGACCACAAGCATCAGCATCACTGAGGAAGTTTTTAGAAATGCGCATTCTTATTTGGTCAAAATTCAGGGCAAGTGCCGAGTCTCCTGAAGGGTTCCTTGGCAGTATGCCTCTCCCCCTCTCTCCACTGAATAATAACATCCTTATCTATAGCTATCAACTATATCAACTTATATAGAGTTATCATCTTTATCTTCAGTTATCAACTGAAGTGGCTGATTTTTCTCTTTCTCTGTCACCAGATTGGTTTTATTTCAAAATGTTCTTTATTTGGAATCATTTGAGGGGGTTCTGGAAGAATGAAAACTCAGGGTGACGGTATCCCAGAATTTTTTCTTTAAAAGAACTCTCTCCGATGATTCTTATTTCACACTAAATTTGAAAATATCAAAATCCGTAATCATTGACATGTGATCATTGGAGCAGGACTATCAACATTGCTCCGGAACTTGTTGGAAATGCAAACTCTTTGGCCCTGATCCAGACCTACTGAATCGGAGACTCTGGGTTGGAGCCCAGGTATATATGCAAGCTCTCTGGGTGATTCTGATGCTCGCAAAAGTTTGAGAACTACCCTTCTAGCTTATGTGCTCCTTCAATATGAATAAGAAAGTATCTGGCTCTATAACAAATCTTTTTAAAGAAAACTAGAACTGGGATTAGGGATGTCTACTAATATTTGAGTATAAGGAAATGTCCATAAACTGTCAAAGAAATAATTAAAGCTGGCAGAGTAAGATTGGAAAAATCCTATGTGCAAAGAATGTTTGTTTAACTTCATGTTAGAGAAGACTGTTGAGAAAATTCCCTAAAAGTGGACTGAAGAATACTTCCTTTTCATAGGAAATGGATAGCGATCAGAAAAGCTGTTTTTTTCTCTAACAATATGGAATAAATTCTCTCTGCTACTTCTAAAATGTTAGCGTGTGTAAGTGCACTAAGGGAATAGATTATGGTAAACAAATAATCTGCATAAAGTTTCATTGTTTGCAAAGTTTCCTTGCTTTCTCTTTTGAAACGGACAAGAGAACTAATGGACACTTGTTTCCATGAATGGAGACCGTACTACCTGAGTTTACTATGCCTGACAACTAGGATTCCATTTCCAACACTTATCCCAACTTTTGACATTGTTATAGTAACAATTCATTATTATAGTAACAATTCAGTCATTATTTCAGAATTTGCTCATTATTGTGGCCAATTTGTGAAATAAATCATAGGAAAATTTCTAACAATGATATCTTTGTTAACAATTTTGTCTGTTAGTTGAATTACTTGTTTGATTTTCTCACATACAAATGGGAATATTGATGAGGAAAGAAATTAGCTAATAGATCTGACATTCTCTGCTTCTAGCTGCAGACTAATCTGAAGACGCATAGATATAACTATGTGTTAATGATCCTCTTGTAAAGATTTGGCAAGGTGTGCAAATGATAAAACCAATAACACTAATCTATGTGAATAAAGGAAAAGATCACCTCAGAGAGTAATACACTTTATGAACCAATCAAACAGGTGGGATTAGGTTGACCTATTTGAAGAAGAGAAAACAGATCATGCACTGTGGTAGGTACAGGACAGATGGGAGATGATCTTAAATAGTGATGACAAAAGTCCTCCTTGAGAAAGTGACATGTGAGGAGGTGAATATCTGAGGAGGGTTATTGAAGCAAAGTCCCTGAGATTGGAATTCGAGGAACGTCAAAGAGGCCAGAGGAGTTGAAGTGTAGAACGCAATAATATTGATGAGGATTTTAGGCTGGTTAATTTTAAAAACTGAAGATGAGAAGGAGGCTCATCCCACAATTGCTGTTTGACAATTTACTGCTATAGATATGTATAGCGTGTTCTCCTAGTTGCTTTGTTATTTTCTTATTCCTCAGCACAAGAAAATGTCATTTGCTCAACTACAAAGTTTCTGTTTTGCAAAATTTCTTGTGACTCAGTCCTAGAAAACAAAATAGAGAAGTCTATTGGGTGGAGCTTCTGGGATAGCTACTGGTTCCTTAAGAAAATGGAATGGCCTCAAATGTGACTCAGCTTTTACCATACTCCATCTCTGCCAAGATAGGATATTCAGATGATACTCAAAAGTACAATAATTGTGTGTATGGACACAAAAACAGACACTGAGTGTGCTGAAGTACAAAGATAGAAGGAGCCCTGGTCCCTGAGGGCCATGTGGAGCTCCCGCACCATTGGAAGACTGCCTGTGGCTGTGCTTCTTCGCAGTTAGAATACGTCACACAGCTCGTGGCCAATACAAATAATTCTGCTCAGCCTTGAAACACAATCCATTTGTGTGTGTGTGTGAGGAAGATTGGCTCTGAGCTAACATCTGTGCCCATCTTCCTCTATTTCATGTGGGATGTCACCACAGCATGGCTTGATGAGCGGTGCGTAGGTCTGCACCCAGGATCCAAACCTGTGAACCCTGGGCCACCGAAGCTGGGCACGCAAACTTAACCACTATGTCACCGGGCTGGCTCCTCAACAATCCACTTTATTTTGCCTTCCTCCCTGCAATGTCAGGATGGACTTTTCACAGATCAAGTTTTTCTGTGTTTTTTCTATCATTGGTCAGTTGCTTCCACGTCTGTAGTCTCTGGCTGTTACTAGGTCATTGCCCATTCTAAAGACTTCCTCAATCTTTACTAAATGTCACTCTCTCTAACTCCTCCCCAAGGGTAAAGCAGCTACTTCCCCAAAGTACCACAGTGATTTTTAGCATTAAATAGTGTAACTCCTGCTACTTGGATTCTAGAGGTGTTGCAAAGAAAAAGAAGAATTTACAGTGATAATAAAATGGCACCGTGTTAAGGCAACTATGTTCAGAGTTGGCACTTAGATCAGGTACTGGGAGTGTTTCAGACCGTAAATGTACATCAATTAAAACTTTGACATTATTTAGATGAGCAATATTTGCTTGCATTTATCCTCTCGCAATTGTAAATAGTAAGTAGTAGCCAACATACACAAAAAGAGTATCCAAGAAAATAAGATATTTTAAAAAGTAAGATTATATTCGTTAAGAGGAAAAACCTCATTGAATTACCAGATACACAATGTGGAAAACTAAATGAAATCCCTCAGAGTAAAAAAGAAAAACAGAAAATAATCATTATGCTGTACATAGACCTTACAGAGACCAAGAAAGGCCAATTTCTAACATCTAGATTTTCTGATGTATTGAAATTTGCTTTATTTTTAAAATATATCGTTGATAAATATTCTGCTATAGATTTTCACTTAGCCAGCTAATATACTGATTGATGAGCCTGTAACCAATTTTAAAATTCAGAAGTGAAAACGATCCATGGAATCCGTCCTCAACGTGGTTATGGGTCACCCTAACTCCAGCGTTCCGAAGTCGGGAGACATACATGAGTCCATCGTCTCTTAACACGTCATACTGACAGGTGATGATGTAGGTCAGAGGTAAACCACGCAACTTGTGGTCATCAGCCAACAGGGGGGCTGCCCTCACATCCAGGAATCCTGGATATTTCTTTGATAGCTCAGAACTGCCATAAATTGGATTGTTATACACATATCCTTTTATAAACCTCTCAGGGAGCAAGGAACTCCAATTAACAAACTTGAATAAGTGACTTGATTCCACAGGAACATGTTGGTGGGAAAGCATGGCTTTCTCAAGTGATCTATCTGTAGTAAAATATTCACTCCAGAACCTGACCATGAGTGATTTGGACAGAACAGGAAAATGCGAATATCCTTGGTATGATGGTGTATCTACGTCAAGAGGCTGAAGGGCAGGATAAATTAAAGACTGGACCTTGAGTTTGATCTTGACATCCGGATCATCTAAGAGCTGAGAAATAATTAAAATTACTTGCATGAAATATTTTCAGTTTAAAACAATAAAATAACTAACAAAATTATATATAGATTCATAATCTCAGAAAGACATAAGTAATAATTGGAATACACCATCTGAACAAAATTTCAAATATCCAAAATAGGATTCTAGAACTAGATATTCTTTAATTAAAGGGTACTTTTAACTTAAGGATAATCATCTGTCTCATACTCCTCATGGATAATGCAAAATATCTAAGCAATAATTAGAAAGTTAATGTCTTACCCTTTCTACAAAGAATGACAACCAGAAGAACATGCATAAATTTGACCTTTTTACTCCTTTGTTAATATGAGAGTTTATTAAAAGAGTCTACTATGCCAGTAGGCTTTGCCATGGAAAGAAAGGATCACTTAACAGGGATTTCTGACCTGGCTTTGATGCCAGTGACGTCCTATTTTGAGGGATTTGGGCAGGCTTTCTGTGTGAAACATTCTGTTAAAATGACTCTTTCCTACATCAGGCCTAAGGTGCTCATGTTTGTAAAGGTCAATGGTCTGCAGAGAGGTGCACAAACACCATAGTGGCCAAAACAGTGATCCATAAGTTAGAATAAAAATTCAAAACATATTTCAATTTTTGAAGACATGTTTTAAAATGCAGTTTTATATGTTTTCAAAACACACAATATACTATACTGTAAAAAAAATGTATATAACTTCTACATAAAAATACAGATATTGGATTCCTCAAATATTTTGCTAATCTTAGTGTTTATCCATGTTGTAACATAATAATCAAAGTAGACCTCTTTGGACACTTTGAAGACCATTTATGAAGATCATTGCAGGTTACCAGGTATTTTTATATAAATTTATTCATGTGCCCCTAAAAACAACTCTGTAAAGTTGAAAGGTTTCATTTTGTCTCATAGTTGAGGAAATGGGTGCTTACAGGGATTAAGTAAACTGGCGAAGATCACATGTAGAATGACTGCTTCTCAAGAAAATCCAAGTCTCCTGCTGTCTAATTTCGTGTTTTTTCTGCTATACTCTGAAACCTATGGCAACAATCAGAAATCCGCTCTGGGAAGTTTCAAACTCCTGTTCCACATTGTGGTTGCAGCAAAGCCTCACCATAACACTCTTTCCTTTTGGAAATATTGTACAAGAAACTCTAGTGGCCAAAATACCTTTTTAGTGTAAAATAATTATAAATGAATATCGTCAACAAGACAAATAAAGCAATGTTTTTTAATTGCTTTAAATCCATCCTTTATAATTAAAATCAACTAGTAAAATCCAGACTCTACACCTGTAGTCCACAGGCAGCTTCCCCGTCTGGCTTCCACCGCTAAATGGGAAAACAGCTTGGATTTTAAACAATCAATAGCAGGTTTTTTTTTTCTGTTCATGGAAACAGAACTCATGTTACATATAATCTGGGATAAAATATGCTATGTATTATTATTATTATATTACTATTATTAAGTGACAGATAAAAACAACTGATTTTATGTAAGCAAAGAAATTTTTTGAATACTTTATATTTCTTCTTTGTAAATGGCATAGAAAGTTTTGAATGTGCTGTTAGTTTCTAAAAGTAGTGTGCTTCTTCAGGCAATCCAGGAAGACCGCACTGGAGGTGACCGAGTCCATCCGCACCTCTAACAATGTGATAAGATCAGTGTTCGGTCACACAAGTATATAAACTCATTCATCTCACTAGTATAATATTTTACTGACATGTATATAATTTTAAATCAACAATCTATCTAGAGAATTATCATTTCATTAAGAAAGAAAGGAACCTATGACAGGAGTAGCAATTCACATTTTGATATTTTAGACATTTCTTCTCAATATTCTCTTTAATATTTCCCCCAAAATCACTATCCTTATACAGGTCTTCCCGATCTTAGGATGGGGTTACTTCCGCATAAACCCATTGGAAGTTGAAAATCTCCTACGTGGAAAATGCATTTAACTTGCCTAACCTACCCAGCATCCTGGCTCAGCCTCCCTACCAGAAACACGCCTGCAACACTGACGTTAGCCTACGGTTGGTCAAAATCATCTATCACAAAGCCTATTTCATAATAAAGTGTTGAGTATCTCACGTTATTAATTGAATACTGTACTGAAAGTGAGAAACAGAATGGCCGCGTGGGTACAGAAGGGTTGTGAGTGCATCAGTGGTTTACCCTCGTGATTGCATGGCTGACTGGGAGCTGTGGCTGCCGGTGCCCAGAATCACAAGAGAGCATTGTACTGCATATCGCTAGCCCACGATCAAAATTCAAAATTCCCGGTATGGTTTCTGCTGAATGCACACCGCTTTCGCACCATCGTAAAGTCGAAATATCTAGGTCAGGGACCGTCTGCACTTGCATTTACATTTTAATATATTTATTAAAGTACTGTTTATAAGTAGACTATTTAAAAAAAAAAAGACAAACCTAGAAATGATGAGCATTGTACCTGTTGCGTTACTGCTGCCGCTAAATTTCCTCCCGCGCTGTCTCCAGAAACAGCAACCCTCTCAGGGTTCACGCCGTATTTTGCAAGAACTTTTTCACGTAAGAACCACTTTAAGGCATTATACACATCTTCAAATTGAGTTGGGAAATGATACTTAGGGGCTAATCTGTAGCTGTGGAGAGAAAACATGCTTTTCATGTCACTTATATTTTTGCTTTTTATGAAAGCATAATACACATGTCAGAAATGCATGTATCTCAAGTGTACAACTCAGTTTCCAAATGGAACACAGCCATATAACCAACACCTGGACCATGCAATAGAGGGTTGCCAGAGCCCTCCCTGAAGCTCTCTTCCATTTAATCTCCCCAAGCCCTGAAGCATCCACCAGCCTGACACACAGCGTAGGTTAATTTTGCCTGGTTTTGCCCTTTCAACAAATGGAATCATTCGGCCTGTACTCCCAGGTGTCTGGCCTCCATTGTTCACCATGATGATTTGGAGCCTCATCCCCTTTGCTGTGTGCTTCTGACCTCGTGTCGGATACTCTACTGTGTGACTATGTCACAACTCACTTATCCATCAAAATGTTGATGGGCATTTGCGTTGTTTGCACTCTTGGACCTTCACAAACAGTGATGCTGTGAATATCCTAGCACGTGTTTTTTGATGAACATACGTATGCATTTTTGCTGACATATACCTGTAAGTGTTATTGATGGTCACAGAGTATATGCTTAGCTGTACTTAATATCGTCAAAGAGTTTTGCAAGGTGGTGGTACCAAGTTATTCTTGAGCCAGAAGTTTATGAAAGTGCCTGTTAATACATCTTCTCACCAACACTTCTTATTTATGTCTTTTTCATTTAGCTATAATACTGAGTGTATAGAAGTATTTCCTTGTCATTGTAATTTGTACTTTCCTGGCGTAAACTAACTTTTCGTATGTTTATTGGTGATTTGGATCTCCTTTTCTGTACGTTGTCTTTTTGAGCTTTTTCCTCCATACTTCTATTAATTGGTAGATGTCTATATATTTTGGATTAAAGAAATACATTCTTATATACACATATATGTTCTCTTAATGTTTAATATGCACATATATGTTTTCTTAATTTTTAATATAACCACTTCATTGTGATATAATTCACACACTATAAAATTAACCCACTTAAAGAGTGCAGTTCAATGGTTCTTAGTGTATTCAGAGAGCTGTGCAACCATCATCACAATCAATGTTAGAACATTTTCATTACCCCAAAAATAACCCCTGTACCCGTTAGTAGTTGCTTCTCATTTCTCCTCATCCTCCACCCCAAGCCCTAGGCAACCACTAATCTACTTTCTGTCTCTATAGATTTGCCTACTCTGGACATTTCATATAAATGAAATCAGAAAATCGGTGGCCTTTTGTGACTGGCTTTTCACTTAGCATACTAATTTCAAGCTTTACCCACATTATAGCATTCCTTTTTATTGACAATGAGCATTCATCTTTCAATTATATGGGTATATTACATTTTATTTATCCTTTCATGCGTCAGTGGACATTGGGCTTTTTCCACTTTCGGGGTTTTATTAATAATGCTGCTATGCATATACACGTTTTTGTAAACATACGTTTTTATTTCCCCTGCATATATATCAAAGAGTGAATATGCTGAGTCATATGCTAACTCTGTTTAACCTTTTGAGGAACAGCCAAAAGCTTTTCCAAAGTGGCTGCACCTTTCACACTCCCACTGGCATTATGGAGGGTTCCAATTTCTCCATTTCCTTGCTAAAACTTGTAATCTATTTTTTTATTATGCTCATCCTAGTGTGTGTGAAATTGTGTGTGTAAAATTCTCATTGTGGTTTTGATTTGTGTTTATCTGATGGCTAATGATGCTGAGAATCTTTTCATGTGCTCATTGGCCATTATAATTTTAGAGTCAAAATTATTGAATTTTTAAAGAGTGTCATTTACCTTTAATACAAATAAAATAAGTGTATTCAAAGGCAAGGCCTGTGTTTGCATAAAAATTTGAAAGCATATTTCATTTTTCAAGAATGTGTGATTTTTTAGTAATTTAATGAATCAAACATAGGTGTATATCTTAACGGTGTCATTTGACTTGCATCTTTAAGAAAACCATCTTTAAAAATAAACTTGGAATACAAAATTTTGCATAAGCTTGGATTTAAAAAATTTTTATTCTAATCACTATATGACTATATTTCAATTTTATAATAATGAATTACCTTGATAAATGGCCACGACTGTTAACTCTTAACTTTTCCTTCATTTCCTGAAGTTTAAGTTTACACAGGTGTATGTGGCTCTGACATAGTCTACCTGCTAATTCACCACCTGATTTTACTCTCCCTAAGTGTTCTTTTCAAGTGCGGATTATTGGTCTAACATGCTATTTTACACTAACTTATTGGCTTGGTTTGTTTAGTTTGATAATACATTTTAATTGTTTGGACTAATCAAGTGTTAGTCACTGGGCTGAGTCCCTTCCAGGAATGTTACCACTTCATCTTCACAATAACCACCTCAAGTAGGAACTATTTATGACACACTTTTATAGATGATTCTTTGACGCCAAGGCACTCATCCTAAAGATTGTCAGTATAACATTGAGAGGAAATCCAGTCCAAGTAATTATGTCCATGGATAACACAGTTAAAATTTACGTGAAAAACCCTTTACTTTTAGCTCTTCCTTCTTGCCTTAAGAGCATACACACACATACGTACACGTATTTTCTTTCTTGACTCTGATCCGAGTAGTCTAGACTTCACTTTCTATCACCTACTTAATCTTATCTGAGAAACATTGATTTTGGCATAATCATGCATCGACCAATGAAGTTGAGTGATTGTGGGCATGTAAGGCATCTGGTCTGAAAACAAAGAAACACAGCTCTTACTCAGTTGATATGACAACAGCATCAAGTCTGTCTGCTGTCCATCTTGACAGTGAGTCATAACCTTTTAAAGCTGAAATAAAAGGAAAAAAGCAGGACTTTAGTGAAAATGGACAAATGAAGACAGGATATTTCCTTCACAAAAATCCCATTGTGCTTGCTTTATATTCTGAGAATTCTCCATCTGCTCTGCACAGAAATACCAGGGAGACAAATGAAGTGCTGCACTTATCCATAGGAAACCACCCATCCACAACTCAGTAGAATTTGAGTTTCACACAGAACCTCCTCACCGCTGTTCTTCTCTTTATCTTTTGTCCTTCACATTTTGTCTTTGGCTCTTCTGAGCCAGCTTTATTCTCCGGAAGACTAATCTCAGCTCCCTTACTGGAAGAGATATTGACTTGACTCTGTGTTAGGTGATGAGTATTTCAGACAAAAAGACAAGTTACTGACTTGACGAATGTGCTGTTAGATAAGTGAGCCAAGGAGCTATAAACAGAATTGTGGTAACATAGAAGGACCCCCTAAATCTGCATGCGACAATAGAAAAACATCTGAAAATACGGGGGGTAGAACTATGCCCCCTTAACACACAGAGTTGGAACTCCCTCATTTACAGCTTGCATCCACACTGCTATCCTAAAGATGTATCTAGCTGAGCTCTGTCTTTGCCTCTTTTTCTCTTGTCTAGGAGGAAGACTGATGCTTTTCTAGTTTTTTTAAATAAAGATTGGCACCTGAGCTAAATCTGTCGGCAATCTTTTCTTTTTTTGTTCCCTTCTTTTCCCGGAAGAGCCCCAGTACATAGTTGTATATCGTAGGTGTAGGTACTTCCAGTTGTGCTATGTGAGATGCCGCCTCAGCGTGGCTTGATGATTGGTGCCATGTCCATGCCCAGGATCCGAACTGGCGAAACCCTGGGCCGCCGAAGCGGAGCACCTAAACCTAACCATTCGGCCACGGGGCCGGCCCCCTGATGCTCTTCTTAACCGTCTCCAACCCTCCTATCCATATGCAATACTTTACCACTGCTCTGACTCTCCTTCCCTCTTATCTCCTCTGGGATGTTCCACATTGGTCAACCCTTGACGCCCACCTATTCTAGCACGCATCTACTTATTGCCTTCATTTCCTTCAGTCTACCAACTTGCTCATGTCTTTCCCACATAAAAAAAATAAAATAATACAAAATGCTCTTACTTAACTCTCCTTTCAATTTATCATTTTCTTGCTTATTCCTTTCTTAACTAAGTCCCTTTAAGGCCATCAATCCTTCTTACCATTTCCTTTCCTCTCACTTTTTGCTCATTGCAATGCATTTCTATGTGAACGTTCCATCAAATCTGTCCGCAACAATATTGTCATAAAAAATTCAACACCCAAGAGACATACTTCTGTCCTGACTTGGCACCTCTACACCATTCAGTAGTTTTTATTAATCTTTCTTTCTTGAGACTCTCACCTCTTCTGGCTTTCTTTTCATTTTTTTACCTCTTTGGCCACTTCTCAGTGCCTTGCTGGTTGCTTATTCTTTCAGCCAATGCTATGTCTCTGTTCCTCAGGGGTCTGTCCTCAACCTCCCAGTCCCCCCATCAGAAGCAAGACAATCATCTTAGATTCTCTCTCAATCTCTCTCTTTCTTCTCCTCTCCTTCCCTCCTATCTTCACACATCAATTGAAAATTTTGCTTAATTTCAAGCCTGTAACATTTCTTATTTGGACTAATTTATTCTTCCTCTCTGAGAGAGCTCAGAGTTCTTAATTAGAGCCCAATCCAATCTCCATTCCCTTAACTGATCTGTATCCCGTTTATCTGAGGTAAGCAGGTGAGTATCAAGCACCCTGGGACTCAGGCGGGTGAGGTGATTTTCTCAAAGTCACACAACTGGGACCTTTAAACCAGTGCTTTCACTTCTAAGTATGGTCCTCTTTCTGCTATAATCCTATTCATCAAGAAATTTGCAACCTGCACATTCAATCTTGATTACACTGGTCTATTATTTGCTAAATTTATCACTTTTTTTTAAACACACTGTGTGCTTTATTTATTTATCCACTGATTATAGATTATCTCCATTAGAATGTAAGCTCCAAGAAGCAGGGAGTCTTGTCTATTCAAAGAGACAGATCCAGAGCTCCTAGAATGTTGCCAGTCATGTAGCAAATATGTGAGTAAATGGGTTGACATGTCAGCTGGTCCTCTCATATCAAACAGAGAAACGCAGAAATAGCAAAGTCTGTTCTTTTAGAGTCGCTGCAATAAATATGAAAACACTGTCTTCTCAATTCTACCTGGATTGAAGAGAAAAGTATATGTGGAAGAGAATAATTTGAAGCTTCAAAGAAGAGTAAAACTTTGTTCTCCTGCCTAAGCAAGAGAAGACGAAAGAGACTGCAGTGTCCCGGCAGAAGAGCCCTGTATACCTATTGGAGACGCTGTTTTCTAATAAAATGTTTGCAAACTATCTTAGTGATAGAGATTTTTCAAAGCATTCACTTACCAGCACTTCCCAAACACCAACCACCGCCATGGATGTAAAACACACCCCTCCTCAGGGCTTCTGACTTCCTCTTGGGCACGTACACACGGACAGGAATATGGTTGAATGTTGTCTCAGTCACAGCGACATTTTCATCTGAGGTTGGTGGAACTTCATCAAAACTCATACCAATCATCATGGAATCCATCAAATGGTTGAGTCCCAGCATCTCCAGAAATGTAGCCTAAAAACGAAATTCACACCCACCTTGGAATTCAAGTTCCAAAGAGAGCTATGAACAAGTACACGCTGTCCTTTAATAAGCTCAAGTGAAATGAACTAAATTCTTGTTCATGAACCCTCTTTGGTCCTTTTAGAAGAACCAGAAGTCAGAAGTTGTGCCTACAGTGGTTGCTAAAAAGGAGAGTGAGTGCTCAGTTAGTCCTTATTCCATAAAAATGTGTCAGGTTCCGCACTAAGCTTCAGGGTTACACAGCTGAGCGCGAGAAAGGCTCTTCTCGAGAACCTCAGAGTTAAGTGGGAAAGACAAAGAAGAAACTGTTTGAAAAACAATGTAAATACATCCCTACATCTCTGCACATGTACTTTGGGAGCAGACAGCACATGATTACAAAAGCTCCCTGGGCGTGGCAAACGGAGAGCAGTTTTCAAGCAGGAAGTGCAATTTTATCTGAGTCTTAAAAGTAAGGCCTTTTCTGAAGAATTTGGCTAAACTAAGAAATTAAAAAACCCTTCCAGACAGAGGAACTAATTTAGTTTGGAGATAGGGAGGCCCTTATGGATCCCCCGAGGTACAGCTATAAAGCTGGGTCACACTGGGAGTGAAGCAATGGGCGGGACAAAAAGGGAGGGCCAGCCTGCCACCTGCATCCCATCTTTTCATTCTAGAACAGTCGGTGTCCTAAGCCCTTTACGTGGATTAATCTTAATAATATTAATGACTAGCCTGCACATGAGGTAGGTAATATTATATATTCAGAGAAGAGGAAAATGAGCCCAGGAAGGTTACATGAGTAGTTCAAAGTCACACAGCTGGTGAGTCGTATTTACCAGGATTGAAATCCAGTAGTTTGAGTCTTGATTTAATGTTCATAGCATAATAAATAAATATATGAAAAGATATTCAAAGACTGCCAGACATGTGAGGGAAGCCAGCCAAACTAATCGGGAAAAACAAGACAAATCAAGAGAATAACTCACTACCCAAACAACAAACCAGCAAACCAAAAAAGTAAATCAAAAATGACAAAAGACGTCGAAACAATTTTTAAAATGTATATCCTCTGAGAGCCCTGAAAATATGTTACGCTCACAAATGGTGGACAGACTGCAAAAAAAAGGCGACTGGAGAAGAAAAGCTCAAAAACGGAGAAATAGAATTGCTTAAATGAATTTTTAAAAAGTAATAGCAAGACTCAGAGAAACAATAACCAAATCCTCTCACAGATTGCAGAGCAAAGAAAGGAAATATGAGAAAAAAATTATTTGGCTTCTTGAAGCTCTTTGATAGCTCTACTCTGCGCACAGAATTCAATCAAAGCCTCCTGCCACTGCCCACAGAGCATGCGTGACATGACATCCAGCCTCTCCTCGCTAAATTCCAAGAACTTCCCCACAATCCCACTGGCTCACGTGATTTCTTGAACTTGTCACCGTTTTGCAGCTGGGACTTTTGCACTTGTTGCCGGCTCTGCTGGAACACTCTTTCTTAACACTTAGGTGGCTGGTTCCTTTTCATCATTCTGGTCTCAAATCAGGGGTTTCCTCTTCAGAGGGGCTTTCTCTGATCATACAACCCTGCTCCTGCCATTTGCCTGAATGACTCTTTTCTCCTCCTGCTTGACTCCTTCTAGGCACTGCTCATGCTCATGAATTATTCAGTCATTTGATTTTAGTTTGTTATTTTTCTCCACCACTTGAAAGGAAGTTCTGTGGCAGCAGACTCCTTGTTTTTCCAATAGGATTTAATATAGTTCAGTTGTTCAATGTGAGAAATAAAAGATCAGTCTCTAGAAAGAGACTTTTAGAGACTGAAGGGAATACAATAATCAAAGAAGTAATGGGAAAACATCCCCAAGGAGGCAGAGAGATCTGCCCCGTTTTTGCAGGTCAGCCCAAGAGCCGCTCAGGCAGGCAGCCAGTTGCCAGGACACCCCAGGGTGCCCCCTTCCTTTTCTGAGTGTCATGACTCTCATGGTTAACCCTGGGCACATGCCAACCTGCCTGCTTACAGGGCACTTCCTTGAGAACTTACTGACATGCCCTTAGTCTAGACTCTGGATCCCAAAAGGATTGCAGAAAAGTCTATAACCAGCAGAGTGCCACAGAGTCAGATGATCTCTGACTTGTTGACAAAATTACAGAGCAAACTACCTCTAAGATAGGCGCTTCAAACAACCGACACTCTCATGACGTTAATGCTCCCTAAACAAAGCATTTTTTAGTAAAAGCTACTCAAATGCCTCCTCGCTTGTTTTCCTTGATACTGTTTAACATGATTCTGATATATAAACTAGAAAACAAGCAAACAAACAAGGGAGCAACACTTCTAAACAGTCAATAGACAAAAAATACAGCATTTATTTTTCAAAAGTGAATCAATAAAAAAAAAAACAGAAAAAAACCCCAAATCCTGAAAAACTTACTTCTCCAGATTAAATGGTTGCATCTGCACTTCTAAATGCATAAAACCCCAAACTTACCAAATGCACTGCAGATTTCAGATATGTGTTGAACAACATCATCCTCCATGGCTCCTCAAAATTCTCTGGGAGAGGTGTGTAAACGTAATACGCTAAGAGGATGCCCACGCTCAGAAGGTACAGTGATTTTCTTCCCATGATGCAGCGCCTACGCTCCTCTGTCTTCCAAATCACAGAGAGTAAACTTACTTGATATGCAGGAACAGTGTACTGAGTTTCAGCTCCACACAGAGGCTTTATCTTCCTTTTTGAATGTAGAGCTGCTCACCTAGTTTTGGGGCTGGCAAAAGGTTTACCCTTCATTGGCTATCCAGAAATAATCACACTGAGTAAGCGTTCAAGGTTCAGTGAATCACAGAGACCTGGGCAAGCTGTGTGAACTACACACTCTTATTTGTATTCCAGTAAACAAACAGGGATTGAACAATAGCTTGGGAAAGAGTCTTTTAATGCAAAGAGAATAGTCCATATTAAATACACGTGTTGCAGAATCTTTTTTCTACAGTAAATTACCACAGAACAAGAGAAAACAGACATACACATTTTTAAAGCGAGAGGGTAGGAAACAAGACAGCCATGATCTCTGCCCTGCAGAATCTACATTATCTTGCAGGAAACAGAAACATTAGCAATTAAGCCTGATCATTTTTTGAGAGAAGAGTTATACAAATAGTGACGGTGATAATGATAACAGTAATAGAGAGCATTTATTAATCATTTACATTGCGATCTAGGCCCTATGCTAAACGACTTGTATATGTAATCTACATCAGTCCAAACCATAAACCTACAAGACCAGTATTATTGTCTTCCCATCAATGAGTAGAATGAGTTTTCAGAAGGTTAAATAACTTGGCCAACGTCATATAAGTTTAAATATTGGAGCCAGAAAAATCCAGGTGTCTAAGAAAGTACATAGAAAACTTTTTAAACAACTTTTTCCCCCCCAGGCCTGTTATATATACCTCCGAGAATATTTGGAAATACAAAAGGAAAATAATAAATATAAATCACATCTCTACTGAGATCACTGCTGTTGACACCTTAGTGTATTTCCTGCTCTATCTTTTTTCTATATAACCACATTTTCTCAACCTGAGACCTGGACAAACCACTTCTTCAAGGAGTTCTGGTTTCCTCTAGTGAGGAATGAAAGTAGAGAAAAAAAAATTGGCACTAGACATACTCATTGATGCCAGGCCATTTTAGGGTACAGAGCTAGAAAATATAGATTTAAGAAAATACATGAGGGGCCGGCTCCGTGGCCCAGTGGTTAAGTTTGCGCGCTCCGCTTTGGTGGCCCAGGGTTTTGCTGGTTCGGATCCTGGGCACAGACATGGCACCGCTCATCAGGCCATGCTGAGGCGGCATTCCACATAGCAGAATCAGAAGGAGCTACAACCAGAATATACAACTATGGACTGGGGGGCTTTGGGGAGAAGAAGAAGAAAAAGAAGAAGATTGGCAACAGATGTTAGCTCAGGTGCCAATCTTTAAAAAAAAAAAAAATGTTTATAATGATTTTAAATTTAACACCGCAGGATTGTTCCTTAATCTCTTTATTGTTGTAATTTCATAAAGTTTTCTAAGTGAGCATTTTATATTACTGGAATCTTATGTGCTATTGCTGTAAGATTAGAAAACACTGATATGCAAAAAGGACAATAAAAAACCTTTAACGTGCTCCATGCAGTCGACTGCTTTTAAGCGGCGTGCTGGCAAAAACAGTTAAATTGCATGGGTGCTTTTTATACCTTCTATGTATTCATTTTGGGTGTAGAAGCAATATAAAAACAATATTAGAGTAGATTTTAAAATTAATGCAACAGACCAACTGTCACCCAGGAGCCTGACTCGAAGACATCTCTGCTTGTGCACGTTCTGGATTCTGCCTGTTTGTGCACCCTCTAATTTCTGGAGTGTGCACCGTCCTGTGGTGAAGCTTACCCACCCCTGAGATGCTTGACTCTGTTTCAGTTGTTATAGAACCTCCTTTTTTGGCCTCTAGGTATTATGTCCTCACCATTTAAGGAAGTCTCGTAAAGTCTTTTCTTCAAGGGAGAGTCCAGCATTGGAGTTGGTTTCTTCACGTAAATAAAGTTATCAGTAGTAATAATAATAATTTTTGCTAACATTAGTGATATCATATGGTTTTCTCATTTAATTTTCCCAAGCATTGACAAATTGGCACTATCTACATATTAAACGTGAGGAAACTGTTGCACAGAAAGGTTAATTAGCTCACCAAAGGCATACAGCTAATTATCTACCTCTACCATAATAGTTTCTTATTACTAATGGAGAATCTATTTCTTAAATGTGGAATTATATCTTTCCTCATCCTATATTCTCTTTGGAACCAGCCAGTCTGGACTTGCATTAGCTATATATCTTTATTATCCTAAAATTTTATTGCCGATATTATTTCATATTTGCTTTACCTGAAATATAAGAAATTGTCTCAAAATATCAATAGTAACACTATTGCAATTAGTAAAATCACCATGAAAATTTACTTACAGAACTTTCTACCTTAAATTCATCTACTTGACTCAAGCACTCAATAAAGTCACTAGAAATTCATTCTTTGTGTAATGTTACCAATGGAATATGTGGTCAGGTTCATTAGTTTCAGTTTATGTTTAATTTCTGGAAATATTTTATATTTAATTTAATTTTATGTCGGTTAGCAATATCCTTACAGTGTCTCTGATTCTAGCCCGCCTTTCTGTATTCTTCTCTGTAATGCTAGGGTTGGTCTTCTACAGACTGTTTCCAAACCTCCTTGTCCTCTGGATGCTGGTGAGTTTCAGCCAATGGTAAGCACGAGCAGGAGACTGGCAGTTGGGAAAGAGGAAAAGGGATTCCTCTTCCTACTTCTGGTTTCTCTTGGCAGCCTTCTAACAGCCAGAGACATACTTGCTGCAGCATCTTCCTGAACTCCCAGCGAGAGCCAGAGCCCTGCCTGCTGAAGGGCCAAGCTCCTGCAGTCTCCACATGGGCCATGCGGCATCCCTGGGGGGTCTGAGCCCCAAGAAGCGCAACAGCCCTTCTGCACACGTGGGTTCTGATCACTACCTCTTCCTTTGTTCACCTGGCCCTAGGAGTGCTCGCTGCTTCTGGCAGCTACCAATCTCTGCAATTTGTTTTTTTAAACTTCTAATGCTTTTGTAGATAATGATCTGTATCAAATTCCCTCTGTTTGATACACTGCATGATTTCAATTTCCTGTCTGGACCCTGACAATACAAATGAGTAATGCATTTGTGTGCCCATTTGTCACAGTTGTACATGCCAGGCTTTCTTTGCTTGTTACTTTTAGCTATTCTTCTGAAGCAGTTGGAACAAGAGAAGAAGCCAAACAACAAGAATTTCACCACATCAATTTCAAAATTTACTCACAAAAATTGCTGACATACATGAGGTGCAATTCTCCAGGCAACCGTGAGTCTCCAAGTAAATCAGGAGCAGTTGGTGGAGACAGACTCTGCTACTGCCCGATCCGCAGCTATGATGAGTTTAATGTTGGATTGATTTTCTCCAGAGCATGTCAATGAAGAGCAAAGTTTTAGTTAAGGGAATATAAAAACATAACTGTAGCGTTCATTACTGTAGATTTGCCATTCCGCGGAAATATAAAAACGTGACTGTAGGATTTCGGCTCAAGGAAACAACCATCAGTTTGTCAATTCCAACTAGTATCCTCATTTTGTTTTCTTTTCAGTTTTGTATAATTGTGATCTATGAAAACAGATAGCTGGGACACTTGTTGGATTCTGTTGTCATGTCAACCAAGTAAGAGCTCTATGTTGGTTTGGTTTTAAGCTAAAGGCTTTATATATGATGACACTCTCAGCTTCCATGGTAATTCGTTGTGGCTATAACTATAGTTATAAATCTGTGGTACTGATGAAACTGCGTGATTGGGGATAGAAAAAGTGAGCTCGAGTCTGTCAGCATGGAGTTAGAGAGAAAACGTGATATAGTGAATGTAAATGGGAGTGAATGGCAGGGTGTCAAGCTGTCTTAATAAAATTAAAATATGACGTCTCAAGGGCAAAATTGCTATCTTTGGATTTCTAGTCAATCATTAATTATCAGAGTGAATAAGAATGAGGGTTCCAGAGACAGAAGATGAGGTTTAAATTCTGTCTTTCAGATTAATTGAGTGACTTTGTGTAAGTTAAATATCTCTCTGGCTTTCTTCATCTGTGTACTGGAATCACCATAATGCTTTTTAGATCATAGGATTTTTTTGAGGATTAAGTGATTAAATATACTGAAAATGCATAGCAATTTTTCATATTTTAAGCCTTCCAAAACAAAGCAATTAGTCACCTAATTACACGTGATACTAATACAAAATCTATTCTCTAAGAGAATGCTGTCTTTTCACCAGAAATAATGCAGGCAGAGGACAGTAGAATGACATATACAAAGTGCTGGGGGAAATACACTGTCAAGCAAGAATTCTATATCCAGAAAAACCATCCTTCAAAATGAAGGCAAAATATAGTCATTACTAGATAAATGGAAACTGACTGACTTTGTTGCTTTCAGACTTGCCCTTCAAAGAATATTAAAGGAAATCCTTCAGATTGAATGGAAATGGTACAACACAGTCACTCAAATCCACAAGAAGGAATGAGGAGCACTGGAAATCATAAACATATTGGCCAACAGAAAAGACTTTGTGTGGATGACCTTCTATGTCTCTAACAATGTTTCTTTTAAAGCCTATTTTTTTCTGATATTATTAGATACATCCATTATTTTTATAGTTACTGTTTTCATGGGATATCTTTTTCCTTCCTTTTGCTTTTAGCCTATTTCTGTGTGTACTTATTTTCTCTTTCCCATGTTATGTTTATTACATATATAGATATAAAATATATAACACTGATAGCTGAAAAGGGGATGATAAATAGAGTTACTCTGCAGTGACGTTTCCATATCTTACTGTAATTTAGTCAGTATTAATCAGAAGTAGATTGTGATAAATTAAAAGTGCATATTCATAGAACAACCACTAAGAAAATAACTCAAACATATTTAAAGAATTGATAGAAGTTTTAACTAGTAACACAAAATAAGACATTCAAAAGGAACAGAGGGAAAAATGACTCAAACCATTTAGAAAACAAAGAGCAAAATGGCAACTATAATTCCAATGATATCAACTACTCCATTGACAAAGGACCAAGTCTTCCAATAAAAAGGCAGAGATTGTCATATTGAATGAAAAGTAAGAACCAACTACATGATGTCTCCATAAGAAATATCTTATGTTCAGAGACACAATAGCATTGCAGTGCGGCAGGCAACTGAGATTAATAGCATCTTC